GTGGTGGTGGTGGTGGTGGTTGTTGCCGTTAGAGTCAGAGGTGGTGGTCTTCAGAGTGTGAAGCTGTGTAAGCCCGTGACTTTCAGTGTGAGCTTTTTTTATGCAGGAGAGCCTGGTTCCATATTGCAGGCAAGATGCAACGTCCGGACCTTGCATGTGCCGGGACGGAAAAATCACTCGAGGGCAGATGTGAGATGTGCAGTAGGGGCCAGAAGGATACTGTTTCCAATCATGCTAGCTAGGCTTCTCTGTTCAAACCGGACAAAACTCACTGCTTGAAAAAGCTGAAAGTATGTCGCTGCCGCCTAACTCTTCTGACGAGCAGAGAAGCCCATCTTCTGTAGTGATCCAAAGTAACAAACACCCTAGCCCGACTCTAGACCTCAAACTCTGAAACCAAGTTCAAGTGGTGTAGTGGCTTGCTGAAAGAATATGACTTGCAGAAGCATGAGTCGGGAGGAACATGGTCTGCGAGCTGCACGCCCCGGTTGCGGGGTGGGATTGGGGCTGTAGCATTTGAGCTTTGTTCGTAGAAGTCAGAGCATGGTACACCCAGAATATCATCTGTTATAAAGCTGTTACACTGCAGCATGAGTTCCGAATCTGTGAGGGCACGACAGACTCTTCCCCGGAAGCCCACCCAGACCTCAATTTAAGACCCCCGGAATACGGTTAAGCCTAGCCCGTGCAGCTGGGGTCCAGGCTAAGCGCAAGATTCGAATCGCGCCTGAAACGTCACAGCAGGGAATCTCCGAAGGCTCTGGAATTGTGCTTCTGCTTTCTGTAGGATTCCTTCCGCTTCCGTTGCTGTGGCAAGCTCCTCATACTGAGGCATCTTAAAACCTGTTAGTGCAGAGCTCTAGACATGTGATCCCAATCTAGAGGATGCATAACCGCCGCCCAGACCTAAAACATAAGACTTAAACCTCAAACCCTTCACGAACTATCGGAAACGTACTGCTGGAATACCGGTCAAGCCCCCACCAAGTATGCAGGCCTTGCAAAAGAGATGCTTGATTAGTTGGCTCATTGATGCTTACTCGCAAGAGCAAGCACAATTTTTGCACAACAAGCCATGTTTGAAACGTCGGCTGTGGAATGGCTGTGGTGCGGAAAGCATCAAATGAGAAAACTCATTACATCACACTCATCCCACACCATGCAGTTCAACTCCACCACAATCCTCAAACACGCCCTAACCTCCAAAATCCTTGACCTTCTACCCGAAATGCTAAACCCCTAAACCCGAAACCTTAAACCCTATAATAACCTCACACCAGGCGACGCACACCGCCCACGCTGCTGCTTTCGAGTAGAATCTCCGCTGCCTCCGCCGCCGTGTCGGAGGTGCTACCAAGGTTCCCCTAAAGAACTTAAGGGTGCAGGGTGTGGGACGGTTTGGGGTGAACGCGTTGCGGTTTTTTTGAAGGCCTAAAACACCTAAACATTTAGGATTTAGGAAGCTGCCGCGATGTTCATGGGGGTAAAAACACGGTGGGCTGCACTTTCTTAACAACAAATATACAAGTAAATGGTATACAACACATATTGTAGAACGTTCTTATAGAGTATACGATTTTGCTAAGATCCACATGCCGGCTCCTAGAAGCTCCCGAAGTTGGCCTCTTAAGAAAGGTTGGGGAGCATGGGTGCAGCTTGGAACGGGGAGTTGCGGCTTATCCATAGGCCCCAAAGTAGTTCCTCTTTGGGGGTTCATATTTAGAGTCCTATAAGGTAGTCCCAAAAACGACCTACTATGAAGCCTATGGGTAGTGGTTTACAAAACCTCAGGGCCTGCTTGTAGTCAAGTTCTGCATGTTTCGCGGCTGGTCTTACCTTTAAATCTTGCGTGCCTGGCTCATCACCAAGAAAGTGTCGAACAAGTTCCAGACCTGCCAGAAACACAAGCAGAGTGCACCATTTCTGTTCAATACCCATATCTGAACCCGGATTTGTAGATGCCTATACATATCAGTATATACAGAATATATATATATATACATACATACATACATACATACATACATACATACACACACACGCATACATAAGTATGTTCTCTCCCTCTCTTTCAATCTGTACATATATATATATATATGTGTGTGTGTGTGGTATATGTATACATGAACCAAACAATATGCGTAGGCACACATATGTGTACGAGTATGTGTATGTATATATCCCCGTGACTATTACGATTTGCGATGATTTTCGTGACTGAAATGATAATTCTTGCGATTGCTCCCGCTGTTGCCCTGGTCAGGCTCCTTATGGTTCTCAGGAGGTTCTGCAAAGCAGGCATGGAAGCCACCCTCAACCCTGAAAAACCTTCCTGAAACCCTGCAGTTTCCTGCATCCTTGAGTCCTTGAGCTCTGAACGCTCAAACCTGAACCCCCTCCCTGACCCCTCCCTGAGCAGGCCCTCTAAGCCCTGGAATCCTCGACCCTAGAGCCTGCAGTCCTAGCTGGAGCTTGTCCGAAGCACGGCTTGAAGCACAGAATGGACGCTGAGGCCTCGAAGCCCTAAACGACCCCCAAACCTCGCAGTGCCCAAGCCAGAAACAGCCAGAAAAAAACACGAACCCTAAACCCTAAACCCTAGCAATTATCAGGCCTGGTCTTCGCCCCGCAGGAAATCGCCCCGGAAAGCCAGGAGCTGGAGTTTGGGGGAGTTGAGTTGCTTAGCGCTCTTGGGGGTTTCGATTAAGGTTTAGGGCTTAGGGCTTAGGTTTATGAGCTTGGGGCTCTAGGTTAGAGTCAAAAGACTTAAGCTTCAAACTACTTAGGCTGCACGGAACTGCCTCCCAGGAAAGGGATAACTTTGAGGATGACAGCTGGGTTTAGGGCTTCAGGGTTTAGGGTTTCAGGTTTTAGGCTTTAGGGTTGTATTCGTTTATTTGTCTCTCAACTTGGCACGACATAAAAACACGCAGCAAGGGTATTCGATTCACGTGTTTGGGTACGATTACACTTTCGCAACTCGGACACCGTCAGACGAGGTCTTTCGTTGGGTTTTGACTACAGAATGAAAAACTGGAATGTCAGCAGCTCACGTTCAAGGAGGTGACAGTATACAGAACATGGGGAACCTCGAAAACAGCCCATCCCACGAGGAATATGTTGACTGTTCGTCCAACGGTCAACCACAAACCCCTGCATCGAAGTTTGAAGGCGCATCTAACCGTCGGTGTTTTGCTGCAGTTTGTAACATTTTGAACCTGAAAGGACTTGGCCTTGCATGCAATTTTAAGTATAAGCCAATTCCGAGCTAGCGACTGGAATACCCTTTAATCGCGTATGCTCGTCTTCAGTACCTTGTAGTTGCTCAGATGCTTGTAGCTGACCCACGCCTTTGTCGCTGTGCGTTTCTGATCACGATAGAGAACATTCGGTACTCACACCACAACTACAGTAACTACAGGCGCAACATTCCTACCATCAGCACTTGTTACCGCCACCACCCTCGATACGACTATTACGACTGCTGCTGCTGGCGGGACAACATGAAATGCTCCGCGGTTGTTTCCGGAGACTATAACCGGCTTGGTCTCGAGGAAGCTGCACCATGCTCCCCGGAGCCTTGACGATGAGCTCGAAGGTGAAGACAGCTAGGAAAAAATAGTTGAGGACGGTGAACCTTGCAGTCCGGGTATACGATCCACGAGTCTTTGCTGCCGCTCGGCAAGGGTGTAGATACTGGGGCCAGAGCCTTTAGGCTCTAGAACTCGAAGACCTGTTGCATTTAAAAAATCCGACATGATTGCTAGCAAAAAAACAGGGCTGATTGAAGACAGAGGACTCAGCGGGTAGAATGAGATTATAGGGCTGCAAACAACATTCCGGATCCTTGGGCGCCAACTTCAACATTCATGTAAGCCCAAGGCCATCCACCTGAAGATAAGCCCACATGAAGCTTTGGGGAGTAGGCTCTTGAAGTCTAGGCTTTCGGGTTCAGGAAGTTCAGGGTCTCAAGGGCCCGTGCGAGTCCCAAAACGGATCTTCCCCCGCGCCCGACAATCGAACACCGCGGCAAAATCTGAAACCCCAAGCCCTAAAGACCGCAAACAAACACACCCACATGTCTCTAATCTCAGAAGCCCTAGAAATCCTAAACCCCAGGAGCCGCAAGGTCCCTAGACGCTGTGAGAAGTCCTAGACGGGCCCTTCGATTCTTGCGATGCAAGAAACGAGTCTGGGATATCTTGAACTGGGATCATGAGGGCTCCTCCAGGACAGCGTGGGTTGTGCGAGGGCGAGGACAGGGGGGGGGGGAGATATGTTGTACTCAGGGAAACTTTAACTGAATACGAATACTACTTGCCCACTACTCCCGCTGCTACTGCTACTACTACTACTACTGCTGCTGCTGCTGCTGCTACTACTACTACTACTACTGCTACTACTACTACTACTACTACTACTACTACTACTACTACTTGCTACTACTTGCTGCTACTTGCTACTACTTGGTACTACTGCTGCTGCTACTACTA